GGGCAGCAGGCAGGGGCAGGCCCGGGGGCAGCAGGCAGGGGCAGGCCCGGGGGCAGCAGGCAGGGGCAGGCCCGGGGGCAGCAGGCAGGGGCAGGCCCGGGGGCAGCAGGCAGGGGCAGGCCCGGGGGCAGCAGGCAGGGGCAGGCCCGGGGGCAGCAGGCAGGGGCAGGCCCGGGGGCAGCAGGCAGGGGCAGGCCCGGGGGCAGCAGGCAGGGGCAGGCCCGGGGGCAGCAGGCAGGGGCAGGCCCGGGGGCAGCAGGCAGGGGCAGGCCCGGGGGCAGCAGGCAGGGGCAGGCCCGGGGGCAGCAGGCAGGGGCAGGCCCGGGGGCAGCAGGCAGGGGCAGGCCCGGGGGCAGCAGGCAGGGGCAGGCCCGGGGGCAGCAGGCAGGGGCAGGCCCGGGGGCAGCAGGCAGGGGCAGGCCCGGGGGCAGCAGGCAGGGGCAGGCCCGGGGGCAGCAGGCAGGGGCAGGCCCGGGGGCAGCAGGCAGGGGCAGGCCCGGGGGCAGCAGGCAGGGGCAGNCCTGGTGAAATCGGGGTGGGCTCCCTCTCAGGGCACGGCCACGGGGGTGTCCCCCCTTCAGCTTCCCCAGAACAATCACCCGCTCCCAGGAGGAGTTTCTAGATGCCCCACACAGGGTACTGCCCCCCTTAGGGGAGGGGTGGTATCAAACTGATTCAACAAACATGGGTTTTAAAAGAAAAACAGACCTTGGCAATTAATGGCCGTAACTGGAAAATTGCATGATATTTTGATCGTGGCTGGAGATTTACAGAAAACTGTTAGGGTTTCTCTTTACAAATAAATTTGGAGAGGGGGAAATCATCTAGGTCACATAAAAATAAAGGTCATCCATAGTGCACTTTCCGCCTGTTTTCAGGCAACTGGCCTCTTCGTTAGTATGGATCCAGAGGAGCTTCAAGCGAGACGTGTCACTAACGGGCTCCAGCCCTTTCTACGGAGAGCGAAGCGCCGGTGAAATTCTTTCCTGAGAGGCTGAGGGGAGGGGCTGGGGCTCCTGAAGCCCCTCCGGGGGCGACTGCTGCCGTCTGTGGCCCGTGACCCGCCGCCTCACGGCGAGGGCGAGAGCGATAACCTGCGGTTCGTGCCTTATGAAAGCGTTGGCGCTCCTTTCTGTGACACGCGGACCGCGTTGGCGCAAACTGCGTTTTGAGGGTAAACGAGACCGTGAGGGAAACGGCAAAGCGCTGCTCTGGGGGCCCCTCCTGCGCGTCGGTAACTGCTCAGGATCGCTCGGCGCTTTGAGACGTCACACTTTTCGGCCTGTTCCTGCCGAGCGGAGTCACCAGGAAAGCAGGACCGTGTGGGGGCTTCCTGGTGGTGACATTAACGTGACGACGGTTTGAGCCGAACACAGTGGCGTTTAGAAATCGCACGCGGAGGGTGGATGCAAACGAACAGAGGGACCGGCGGGCAGCCGGCGCAGGGGGGGTGGGGTGGTGGTGGCGATGGTGGCACCGCCTCGTTTATTCATGAGGGGTGGCCACGGCCGCCTTTCTGTCGATGACACGATTATTTTGGAATTTTCCATCCAACGGAGTTGTCCCTGAAACACGTGGGCTCGACGGAGCCACCACACCTGCCAGGCAGGCGGCCCAGCCGCTGGCAACGGGAATCCCACCGGGGCCAGAAAAAGCGCAGTTGTGTGGCCTCTTCGGACCCAGAGAGATTCAGACTCATCGACGGCGACTCGGCCTCCGGCCGCCGCGATGCCGCTGAGGCGGGCGTCGGGCCCCCGCCTCTAACCCGCTCGAGCACCTGTTTCTCTTCCCCTCTCATGGCGGGTCCGGGTAGTTGATGGGACAGACGCGGTTAAGGAGTCAGGCGTCGTTCCAAAGAGAACNATTCCAAAGAGAACTAGACGGGCGGCTGCTATCTGGGTCCTTTCAGTGGGAAAGACATGCGCTCCAGGCAGAGGGAATGCGGGTCCGCGAGAGCGCAGAGTTGGCCCCGGGGCCTGTCCGGGCGGGTTCGGCCCAACAGCCGCCACACTGGGCTGTGTCCGCGAGTCTTTCTTTTTTTTTCTTTGCTTAATCCCTTCACCCAAGGAAGAGACTAAGCTATTTTTTTTCTTCCTCTAATGTGACTCTGGCTCTCTGGCGTGTGCGTGACAAAGGAGGGAGTGTGTTCCCACCTTTGCTTGAGCACCGAGGTTACGGGGAGGGGGGGGTTACCACGGGCTAAAGCGGTAAAATCTGACAGGACAGCCGACGCCAGGCGACCCCGGGCTCTGTTTCGGCCGCACCGGGTGCAAGTCGTGCACTAAACCAAAGCTTCTTTAAACAAACAACGCGAGATGCACCAAAAAGGGGGCAGTGCAGCTGATGGAAAATACGTAGGAAGCACATAGTAAAACGCTGACTTTTGCGCAGGCCACGGAGGAGGTCAGAGTGTCTTTTAAAAGAACAACGTAGTATGAATTTATTTCTTCAGTTGCTTTTGTTTTATCAACGCTTTTTACGGGTAGTTCAAAATCAAGGTGACCGGCCCGCGACCGGCCGGGGCAGCGTTCGCAGAACCCCCAGGGCTGGCAGAGGGTTCGGAGGGCGTCTGGCCCAGCCCCACACCTCGGAGACGGACACTGGTGCTGAGTGAGGGGCTGCATCAGGCGACAGAGCTGCGGAGGGAAAAACAAAGCACGAGGCGACGTTTAAACCCTTGGCACGTGTCGAAGATTTTATATCAAGCTTCACGTTGCCGAAGATGCACAAATCCAGTTCCCAAGGTCAGCTTGCGATGGTCTTCGTGCCTCCAAAGCCCATAAATAGAAACGATGGTGTAGCGCAGACATCACAGCCTCCTCTGTTGACCAGTTCCACGGTTTTGGTCGTTTCTGGGAACATGTATAGAGCTTCAACACACATGCACGTGTTTAAATATCTACGCAGGCAGTTCATTTAAAAGCACGTAGGCGCAAAGGCTGTCGTTTTCGCAGGAGATTATTTGCAAGACTTGAGACGAAGGAGGGAAACAGCAGAGGCTCAGGGAAGACATGCGCTGAGCGCACTGCGGGGCCCGGCGTCTTCCTCGGGGCTGAGGCTGCTGTGTCTAGAAACACGAGACGTGTGGAAAGTGCAGGCGAGCGCTTCTCGTGGACACTGTCCCAGCCGGAGCCCTACGGTCAGCACGTGTCCCCCGGAAGCAGTTTCTCTCAGGCCCCGGCGGTGCCCACGGGAGCTCCCACGGGTGGAGCCCGGTCCCACCGCGATGGGAGGAGGCACTGGAACGGCTCCCAGCCGTGTGGCGCCCACTCGGACGCGCCGCCGTTACGGCAAAGCTCTGGTTTATTTATTCTTAGTGGGCTAATGCTCTTCCTCCCTCCACTTGAAACACTGAACACTCCTGTGTCCTGAGGCAGAGTCACCATTTAAATTACGTAGGAGCAAAACATGATTAAATGAGCTTTATTTTTCAATTAGATAATTTACGAGATAATGTAATTCAAAGGAAAATTTCTAAACTCGGCAAAGAGGGATAATTGGCTTTAGTTTAGAGATTCTAACGACGCGGGGAATGGAGATGCTCCTCTGGCCTTCAGCCTAAGTGGCATGGTGCTGGGACGTACGTTTCCCAGCAGTTTTGGAAAACGGTGAGTTTAACTGCAAAGTCTTAGCCCCTGGCCTCCTCACTCGGGTGTAAACCCCGATGTGGCCGAGTAACTCCCCGGAGAGGGCGTGCCTAAGGCCCCGGACAGCGAGGGAGGTGCAGGTGTGTTCGTGGAGCAAACGCCCACCCTAAAGACTGAGGTCAAGGCTGGGGCAACACTTGCAAAATAACTGCCATTTCTGGGTCAAAGGCTATATGTGAAAATGCATCCTTTAAAAATGATTGGTCAGTAGATTTAAATTTCCCACGGCTGTTTTTATCTGGTGGTCACGGCGCAGCATGAGGACGCTCTCCCGCGCTGGGTGGGCTGGGGCGTGGCTCTGCCTCACGGTCCCGTCGCCGCAGGGACCTGCTGCGTGGGGAGCAGAGACGCCCCAGGGCGGGATCTGACCTCCCGCTGCCCCAGGGTGGTCTCTTCCGAGTCAGCGATCTATCCTGAATGTGAATTAAATATGTACAAGGCCCTTAAAAATCCCCCCTGAATGCTAATGTGAAAACAGCGGCCCATGCGCATTTGAATAAACAGAAATCCTCTCCCTTCTCCATCAGGGCTTCTGGCCTCTGAGTATAACTCAAATAATTTGATAACTTGAAAAAAAAAGAAAGAAAGAAAAAAAAGAATTGGGCACCTACTATGTGCAAGGCCCTGTGCCCGATGTGGAGATAAAAAGTAAACTTTCCAGGACTGGGACATTTGTTGTAAATTACATCATTCCGTATTATTTAATTCACACCGTTTCCCCCTGGGCTTAAAAGCTAAATCAGGCGCTGACATTAAGCTTTTACGTGGCTCCCGTCGAACCGCACTGTCTCCGGTCACATAAAGAGGCTGCGTTTTCTTCACAGTAATGTGTATTTCCACATTCGGTTCGTTAGGTTTTTGAAAGCGTTTCACAAAGCTCCCATTCACTGTCTCCAAAAATAAAAATAGCATCTAAGTCTCTCTGCGGCTCCCCACCCGCAGCCACGGGATGATGATGGTCGGATGCTCAGAAATGTAAAACGCAACGCGTGCGGCGCCCGTCGGCGGCAGAGCATGATGCGTGTGCACAGCCCGCAGGGCCTCCTGCTCGGGGCCCGTCGGCGTCGGGAGTGACTGGAACGCGGCGCGGAAATCGGCGGATTCCGCTCCCGCCCTTTGGAGAACCATTGGTTCCCATCTGACCTCCCGTCGGGCACGTAATGTGAGGTTTTCCTCAAACTAACCGTGGCTGCAGCCCCAGCTTTCTTCAGTTTTCCCTTTTTGAGCCCTAACTACTGAAACAGCGCAGACCTGGCAGGCCCAGCCAGTCCGATCCGCCCGAGGGACAGCGGGCGCGGGTACAGGGCCCATTCCCCACGCAGACGGACAGCGGACAGCCGTCGGGGTCCTTACCTGCCCGCAGGCCAGGCCCATTCCCCTTTCGCCCATGCCGTGTGGACACGACAGGTTTAACTCCAGGGCATCCGCTCCAGAAGCCTGTGAGACACACAAGGGGAGGGAGGGAAAGGGCAAAGCTTTATTTGTGAACCAAAAAGCTGTCGCCATCCATAAAAACACAGGGCACGTGGGCCACCTCGCAAGCCCCTGCTTTCCCTATGACGGCCGTCCTGGGAGGTGTGTTCTGGCCCCCAAATTAGAGCGTATAAGACAATAATCACCAATATTTACCGAGCGCTGCTAAGGGACACTCGTGCCTTACCTGTGTCGTCTGGAATTCGCACAATCCGTGGGTCGCTAGGGAACGTTTTACACACAAGAAAACCAAAGCCCAGGCCTGGCTGTTGAGGGGTGTGGGGGAGATGTGAGCGCAGGTCTGTCTGACCTCACTCATTCCGCTCTACTCCAAAATGTCATTGTGTGCACACTAATTAAGTTGCAGAAAATGGCACATCTGAATATGACATTATTTTCTTAGTTATATAAATAAATGATCGAATTTCACTGAAAAATATTTTATGTCAAATATATAACAGCACGTAATTCTCAGAATAATCCCTATGGAAACGTCTTTAAGTCGGTCAGTGTGTTACTAACACGGAGCCTTCTGGCTCCTTCAAAGTAAAATCCGCTCATTTCAACGCCCGTCCCGAAGAAACTACGTTTTAAGGTATTTTTTCCCGACAGAAGGGCAGAGAAGCCAGCAGCGTGATAGAGAGATTCATCACAGCCGCCTTCCCATCGGCCGGGCTCACGCCAGGCGCCGGCTCTGCGGACGATTTCACGGTCAATTAGGTAAACACACGTGGAAAATGGACTCAGCGCCCAAGATTATGAAGCCAATTACTGGTCATGTTTAATTTCACCCCCAAGCCCCAGAAGTAATTTTCCCCGCATGGTTTTAAGATACCCAAATAAATTGTACGGCCAACATTTTCAAACATAATGTGGAGTCGTTAGTTCATAAGTGGGGCTGGATTGAGCTGTCTCTGTATCTGAGGCGCTTCGCAAAAACCCAGCTACATCGGTGGAGGGCGTTTTTCAAGACGCCGCGGTGGACGTCAGCGTGGAAGGCTCAGTGCGCTTTTGTGTCTGAGACACAAATCTGAGGCCCTTGGTTAGCTGTCTGCACCGGGACAGGAGTCAGTCGATAGTATCAGAACACCGGCTGGCCGGCATCCATTCTGGAACCTTCTGCCCGGGCCCTCCACGCGTGTCTGCATTTCCCCTCCGACAGTCTTAAACGAACCTTTTATATTATAAAGAGTCAAGGGTTTTATATTCAAAACTTCTTCCCTGGCTGTCAGATCGGCCTGCCTACGGGCAAGGTAAGATCGAGTTAGGCTCTCGAAGGTGGAATTAAATTTTATCATGACATCCATCACCATATACCGTTTGCTTACTATGCAAATAGCGAGTAAATGCATTCAGAGGAGGAAGGGTTTTCGGGTAGCGTGCGAATCCAAGGGACCACTTTCACGGGATAGATTCCTTTTAAATTTACATTTCCATCATTTTAATGAAAACGCCGGGTAAACAGATTATAATAGGAGTGTTTTTGAGTTGCCACACTCCATTCAATTTTACTGCTCCGGGGTTATTTTTCATGGCAGCTCTTTATTTACAACTAATAAAAACAGAAGAAGAGGAATAAAATAAGGGCGCGCTGAGGAGCCGTTACCTCGGCCATCCTGGCGAGCGCCATCCAGTCGTCCTTGCTGTAGCTGCACATGATGCTGGCGATCAGGACCTGCAAGAAGAAGACAGAGCGTCGGTGCGACGGCCGCGGCTTCGCGCACAGGGCGGCGGGCGGCCTCCGCGCCCGTGAAATGCAAACAGCGTTATAAAATTAGTTGTGCATCTGCTGAAAGGCAAATCGTTAAATAACAGCAGATGATTCCAAGGGAAGTAAAGGATGAGACTGGGGGCTTCCGACTTATACTAGCGACGTTCCTGTTTATTTTTTTTGTTTAAATCTTCACCTGGGATGTTTTACTGATTTTAGAGGCAGAGAGAGAGAGACAGAGAGAAACATGGATGAATGAGAGAAACATCGACTGGCTGCCTCCCACTGGGGACTGAACCCCGAAACCTAGGCATGTACCCTGCCCGGAAATGGAATCAGCAACCTTTCGGTGCCCGGGACGGCGCTCCAACCAACCGAGCCACGCGCCGGCCAACTCTCCCACCCGGGCCGCAGCCAGGAGGCCGCGTCCGCCCCAAGCACGCGGGAACGCCTCGCCCGGCCCGGACTGCTCTGCATTCTCCTGGCCACGTGGCTGCTCCTTTGTCCGCGAGAAGAAGGAGCGGTCCCTGTGCTCGGGAGCACATGGCGCGTTAAAGGAGACATGTAACGTGACGCGGGGATCACGAGGGCGCGTGAACCAGGACGCGCCGAGCCGAGGGCCAGGGGGGTGGCTTGCACCCGCGTGACTCGGGGAAGGGAGGCGCCAGGGAAAGCCGCTCTTAATCGATTCTGCAGCGGCTGGAGGGCGGCCGTGGGAAACCGGTTAGGCAGACAGGGGCGCCGGGCGCCCTGCTGAAGGAAACTCTCGAGCGGCTCAGGTTAGCTTTGGGGGAATGAGCGGCTACTCTCCGTGGGCAGTGAGCTCGGCGCCCAGGTGGGAAGCGGGTTTATACAGACAAGGGCCTGAAACAGTGCTTTCTAACCAGCCAGGCACTGGGTCTGAATTTTAACTTCTTCTGTCCTGAGCTGCTGTGTCCCGTTCGGACATCACCTTCCCGAGGAAGCCTTCCCGGTTCTTCCTCCCTCCCCTGGCGGTCAGGACCCCCTCTTCTGAGATCACATAATGTTATCATATTGTGTCAAATTGTTGTTTGTAATATTTTCAACTGAGGACCAATGATTTGGGGGGCAGGGCCCATCTTTTCATCTTTATATCTCTAGTACCCAGTATTGTACCTTGTACACAATTGGAATTCAACACGTTTGCCTCAAAGGAATATTAAAATAGGGAGCTGAGAAAAGGAATCCCAAGTACTGCACGTTTTTATTGCCAATCCCAATACCTAAATGTAAGGGAACGTCTACATTCCAGAGAGGGAATGAGACAGACAGACAGGCGAGAGGTCGAAGCACCTCTTATAATTCATGACGAATACTTTACATCAAAGAATAGAAATCTATTATACCTGTTTATAGAGTTACGCTTAAGGCACATTTTCATATACATTCTCTCATTTGTTCCACAGGATAACCCTGACTTTAGGAAACCTTATACAGAGCGCAGGCCATTTAAACTGTTTGCCAGGGTCGAGTTCATCCGCAGCAGCGGCCGGACCACCATCTGGCCTTTGGCCCAGGTCTCTCCCCACAGCATCAAGACCATCCCACATGGATTTCCTATCATTTCAATTTACCTTACAGATTCCACGTGATTTGGTGTCCTCAACCCTCTTGTGGTAGAAGGTTTGGAAAAATGTGACCCCTCCCCGTGCCCAGGCCCCTCCGCAATGTGACTGTGCAGCGGGGGACCCGTCACCCACCCCTCGATCGGGGCTGCGTGGTGACTTTTTTCAGTCAACAGAACAGGGAGAAGGGATGCGTCTGCGCTAAACTGGGGCTCGAAGGGGCCTGCCCTCTTCCGCTCTCTTGACATTCTGCCCAGCTGTGCGACCAAGCTGGCGCCGGCTGCTGGGCCCGAGACACCCGGCCCGGGAATGAACCATCCCGCTGAGGCCACCACACACCAGGGGCCCTGGGCCGCCAGCGTCGACTGTGGACGGAGTGGGGCCAGCTGAGGCCAGAAGAACCCGCAGCTTGGCTCAGCCCAACTGCTAACATACAAAATTGTGAACTGAGTGAATAGTTGGGTCAATCCACTAAGTTTGGGGTGTTTTTCTTATGCAGACAAAGCTAACTGATACCACAGAGCAACTACAACAGTGACAGGTAATAACTTGTATGTGCCCAGCCTGCGTTAAGCATGTCACGTACGTTACCTGCAATCCTTGGAACGTGACAAAGTAGAAATCGTCAGCCCCATTCCACAGAGAGGGAAATAAACTTATTTCAAGACAAACAACTACTCATGACTATTCAGCCAATAAGAGTAAGTGCAAATGTTGAGCTGTTTGGCTATCATATATTTTTTTCTGGGTCATTTTTCATGAGTCTCAATCACCCATTTATAGAAAAACTTGTGGGCTGATTTTTTGTACATGGTGGACTTAATTTGATGTGTGTCCATTTTTATTGCCAGACTTATTTCACAGGGATTATTCTGAGAATTACATGGTATTATAATTCGACATAAAATATTTTTCAGTGAAAGTTGATTATTTATATAACTAAGAAAACAATGTCATATTCAGATTTGCCATTTTCTACAATTTAGTTAGAGTGCAAACAGTGACCTTTTGGAGTAGAGCGATGCTTTGGTTTTAAACGCCCACAGATAAGACTTTTAAAATGTGTCACTGGAAAGGGGACGGGGCGTCATCTCGCCAGCCCTTTGACCTTTCTGTAGTGTCACCGTGGGCTTATTATATTTGTAAATTCACGTAGTTTTAAAAGAGAGGGGGCTCCACAAAAGCATATTTTATACACAGATTCACATTTTATAGATATTTAACAATTAAAATATTTTAAGATTTCATGAAATGCTAGGAAACATATCGAGGATGCCTTTTTAATAAACTGTGTTTCTGGGCTGACGTTGTTTTATCAGAATTGAGATTGAAATTGTTTTCCTCCTTAGAGACACTTGTAGGAACCGTGAGCCCCAGGCCTGCATACGTCCCGGTTGGAAGGACAGGGTGACGCCACGACTGCCAACAGGTGCCACCAGGGACAGAGCGGCAGGCAGGGGCCGGGGCAGAGCGAGGCGGGGAAGGATGGGGGGCACCAAGAATCGTGCCTGCACCTCGGAGGGTGAGGCGCCTTCGAGCCGCGGAGCTGGAAGCTGTCTTCTAACCCACACGCCGCACGAGACGCAACACTTCCACCGCACCCGCCTCTCCTGTCCGCTGCACAGTCCTTCAGCCGTCGCCCGCCACCCTCTCCCCGGAGACACCTCCGTCAGCGCCCCGCCGGGAGACGGGCGCCCGAGGCGCGGGCGAGGCCACAGCCTCCGTCTCCACTGCCCTGCCCTCCGGCCCCAGCTCCCACCGAGCCCCCGGCCCCCTCGCCCATCGGACCCTCTGCTCCGGGAGCGCGTCCCAGGTGGGGGTCCCCGCTTGGCCCCGCAAACAGCTCGGAGACACACCTCTGACGGCCTCGCTCTCGGGACAACTGGTAACATTCCTGGCACCCCGGGTATTGATAAACGACTCCCTCCCCCCGTCCTACGCTGCTGATAGTCAGGAACAACGAAAGCTGTTCCCCGCGCTCCATAAACACCCGGGTTCATCTATATTCCGACTTTCAGTCCGAGACGTTCCCTCTCGGAAGCCCGGCCGAGGGATTGGCAACAGGCCTGATGACAGCACCTTCCTCCTATAAACTTCACGGGGCGGCTGAACCAGAGCGCTGGCATCTGGTCCTGATCTGCATCCAAAAAAAATAAAACCGCAACGCAGTCCCTGCTAAATTCACGTTAGCTGTGCAGAGACGCGAGAGGCGACTGACCACGCACGCAAAGGGCACACACCTCGTTAAACACACGGGGGGGCCCCCAAATCACTCATTAGTCATTTCACAAAACTTTCTAGTATCAATATTCGCTATTTCAACTGCCAGGCTGCAGACACGTTTGCCTACAATCGATGCGTCAGCAGTTCTGACCCAAAGCAGACGCTGGAGGGTCTTCTCAGAGTTTGAAATCGGATGCCCCCCCCCAGTAATATATTGAAAGTCTGCAAACAGGGGAAGCGTATCTTCCCCGTAAGGGCTCCTGCCTCGCGGTTCACGCCTCCTGACTTGCTCGCGGACGCGCAGATGTGACCGTCGCTGCTGTTTCTAAGGAACAAGGGTGAGGTGTCCGCTGTGTAATCTCTCTCCCGTCTCCCTGGTGTAATTACAGGATCTTCGAAACTTTCCAAACAAACAGAAAAGTAGCCTTTTGAAATGAGGTGATTGCATGGCCGGGGTTCGCCGTCCTCTAAATAAGGGGAGATCACACAGTTTTCTTACTATGTAAAATTCTGCAATTTGAAAGTTTGTTTAAAAAATAAATTCGTGCCCTTGCTGGTGTGGCTCAGTGGTCAGAGCGCCGGCCACAGACTGAAGGGTCCCGGGTTCAGTTCCAACCAAGGGCACGTACCTGGGTTGCAGGCTCGACCCCGGCCCTCGTCAGGGTGGGTGCGGGAGGAACCGACCCAAGTGTCTCTCTCACATCGACGTTTCTCTCTCTCTCCCTGTGCCACTCCTCTCTGAAAAGCAATGGAAAAAAATATCCTCAGGCGAGGGTTAAAAACAAAATTACAAAAGAAATTACAGGCGTATCTTGCCTTAGGAAGCGACGTGCAGAGGTGTGCACAATTAAAATTTTGGGAAGAGTAAGACGGCAATTTCAGGTCACCAAATGTTTTCTGTTGTGATAATTACGCTGTATTTTCAGAGTAAAAACTACAGCACATTATAAAAACTACAGCACTGACTGGTTTAATTACTGAAAATAAGGCCAGGAGGAGCCTCCGGAATAATGTGATTTAAAAGACAAATTCTAGTTCAGACCCTTCTGAGTTATTTACAAACAGCTCCCGTTGCCCTGTCATGGAACGGAGGTGAGGGGAGGCCCCGCCCTCCCGCACACACACGTGGCGACAGTCGGCTGCCATCACGCTCCT